TTTTGTGCTATTCAACTTAATCAAGACAATTGAATTTCACAATATATTACCCTTTTTTTTTCCAAACTTTGTAACTTGAACTAGAATAACCGTAGTGTATAAAGACATAGAGGAAGAGTAACCAGATTAAATTTAGCGGGGCAAAAGCTGGCTGGTTCTTTACCTCCTCAAATAGGAAACCTCACATTTCTAAGGCGTCTCGACCTCTCTGGGAACAGGTTTGAAGGAGAGATCCCTCAAGAACTTGGTTGTTTACGTCGGCTGAGATATCTCAACCTCAGTCGTAATGGCTTTCGTGGGGAAATCCCCAGCCATCTCTCATTCTGTTTGGGTTTGCAGGTCATCAGTTTGAAGAGAAATAGCCTTGCAGGTATAATCCCTGTTGAGCTTCAAAATCTGTCAACAACCCTTCAAATCCTACGATTTTCAAGAAACAATCTCAGAGGAACTATCCCTCATTGGTTGGGGAATGCATCTTCACTCCTCGATCTGTCTTTGTATGAAAACAATCTACAGGGAAGCATTCCAGCTGGGCTTGGAAAACTCTCAAGCTTGATAATTCTGGATATTGGTGCAAACAACTTACAGGGTATCGTTCCTCCAGCCATTTTCAATCTTTCCTCACTACTTTTTCTTGGTTTTTCAATAAACAAACTTCATGGCAACATCCCACCAGATATTGGCTTCACCCTTCCAAATCTTATTGGCCTTCACGTGGGAAGGAACCAGTTTAATGGGCCAATACCAGTTTCCCTGCTCAACGCGTCACAACTAGAAGATCTTATTTTTGCTGAATGCAGTTTCAGTGGAACTGTGCCTCAGAACCTGGGAAGCCTGAGTCGTCTTAGAAGGGTAACGCTAGCCCGAAATCAGTTGGAAACTGTGGAGGATGAAGGCTTCAATTTCCTTGCTTCCTTAACTAATTGCAGCAACCTCCAGAGATTGGATATAGGGAAAAATCAATTAAAAGGTGAGTTACCTACTTCAATTACAAACTTCTCAAACAAGCTTGAACGACTTGCTTTGGATGAAAATCAGATTTCAGGTTCCATCCCTACAGAAATCGGGAACCTTGTTGGGTTAATTAAATTCCGACTTTCCAAGAACTTTATCACAGGGGAAATCCCATCAAGCATCAGCAAACTAAAAAGTCTATCCGAGCTTTCATTATATAAAAACAGAATCTCAGGGTCAATTCCTGCCTCCATAGGAAACATGACCAGATTGCTTCAACTAATCTTGAACGACAATAACTTAGACGGAAAGATTCCTCCCGCCATGGGAAACTGCCGGAACCTTAAAATACTCACCCTGTGGAACAACAACCTTAACGGAAAAATACCAGAAGAAATCACAACTTCGTCCACCAATATACTGAACTTAGCACAGAATTCTTTAACAGGACCACTGCCCCTAGAAGTGGGCAACATGACCAAACTAGTGGAATTGGATGTTGCCTATAACAGACTATCAGGAAGAATTCCAAGTACACTGGGCAAATGCGTGATGTTAGAGAGACTTCAGATGCAAAATAACTTGTTTGAAGGAAGCATCTCACCTTCATTCAATGCCTTGAAAGGCCTTTCTTTCCTTGACCTTTCAAGAAACAATTTCTCAGGTCAAATCCCAAACTACCTCCAGAATTTCACTCTGCTGCAGAATCTGAATTTGTCCTTCAACAATTTCCAAGGAGAGGTTCCATACAACGGTGTCTTCAAAAATGCAAGCAACATTTCAGTTGTTGGAAACAAGAATATCTGTGGAGGAATTCAGAGCCTTGGCCTTCCACCGTGCAGGATTCAAGAACTGAACAAGCGCCAAAGGTCTCTCAATCTAAAAATGGTGATTCCAGTATCTGTTTCATGTGCAATCTTATTGATGTTAGTCATTCTATTTATTTTCTCTCGATTGAGGAAATCTGGAAGGAAAGCTCCTATGGATGTGGAAATGCACGAACAGTTTCCCAAGATATCTTATGCAGAGTTGAGCCAGGCAACTAATGAATTTTCACCATCTAATTTGATTGGTGAGGGAAGTTATAGCTCTGTATACAAAGGAATTATGGGTCAAGAAGGAAGGCAAATAGCGGTTAAGGTACTTAACCTTCAACAGAAAGGAGCATCAAAGAGTTTCATGGCAGAGTGTGAAGCATTGAGAAACATTCGACATCGAAATCTAATCAAAATCATGACTGTTTGCTCCAGTATAGACTTTAAGGGGAATGATTTCAAGGCTATAGTTTATGAGTTCATGCAAAATGGAAGTCTGGAAGAATTTTTGCACCCAAATGAAGGCGAAGCAGGCACAACGCAAAACTTCAACTTCATCCAAAGATTGAATGTAGCCATTGAAGTAGCTTCTGCAATTGAATATCTTCATAACCACTGCCAACCCCCAATTGTTCATGGTGATCTCAAGCCAAGCAATGTTCTACTGAATGATCAAATGGTTGCCCATGTAGGTGACTTCGGACTCTCAAGAATTCTGCAAGAAAGCAGATCAGCTCGAATGAACACCAGCTCTGCTGGCATAAGAGGGACTGTTGGCTATGTGGCTCCAGGTAAATTAATTCTCAATCTTCTTTAGCTGGATTTAAAATTCAATTTACCAACTTTTTTTTTCTTTTTTCAGAATATGGCATGGGAGGGAAGGCATCCACAACCGGAGATGTTTACAGCTTCGGAATTCTCCTCCTGGAAATGATAACAGCAAGGCGACCAACTGATCCAATGTTCAACAATGGGTTGACTCTTCACCAATATGCAAAAACAGCAGTCCCTGAAGGAGTAATGGACATACTTGAACCTACTCTGTCACAGGAAGCAGAGGCTGACACCAGAAACAACAGAAGAACGAGAATCAGTATTGTGGAGAGCCTGGTTGCCATGGTCAGAATCGGAGTTCTTTGTTCAACAGAATCCCCAAATGACCGAATGCAAATCAAAGATGTGGTTATAGAGCTTTGTAAAATCAGGGAGAAGTTACTTGGCTAAAACTTAATAGGATTAGATGCTCATCATCAAGCCTCATTGAAATAAATTTATGATTGCTGTTTTGGAATCAGATAAACATGTTATTTGTATACCAATAAAAAGCTTGAATATCAAATGCAAGCAGAAATAAATAGAGCCTATTGGGGCAAAGTTTTATATATATATAATGTTAGAGGAAAGTGTTGATTTTTGACATTTGAAATACTTAAAAGGAATGTTTTCAAAAAGTTATGGACTTTTTTTTTTCTTTTTTGCTCGGATTGAATTGAAAACACCATTACTCTTGAGGATATGTTTGGTGTTAGATAAAGGAAGATGAGGGAAAAAAA